TCCACTTTATTATTGCTTTCTGGCCCATGTGTGATAACGTCCTAAGAAGGCCATCTCCTGTCCCCACCACCATCACCAAATCTACTTGTGAAGGTGGTGGCACAGAGATTTCTCCTCCGACCTCTCAAATTGCTATACTGTATCAGCAAATTATTATTATTATTATTATTATTATTATTATTATTATTATTATTACCCTGCTTTTCCCCAAAAATTGGGATTCAAAGTGGCTTACAGTCTAAAAACACAGTACAATTAAAAACTTACAAAAATGACAGTTAAAAAGGAATTAAATTATTACAATATTAAAACAGATCATTTGTTTAAACATAGATTACAACTTAAAAAGATAAAAGCACTTAAAAACCGTACACTTTAAAATAACACACACACACCAGGGCGTTCTTCAAAACCTTTCTGTTTTAAACGCCTGTCTGAAGAGGAAGGTCTTGGCCTGCAGAAGGAAACAAAGAGGGGGCCATTCTGGTCTCCCTGGGGAGAGAGTTCCAGAGTCTCTAGGGGCATCCACTGAGAAGGCCCTCTCTCACATCCTCACCAACCATGCTTGCAATGGTGGGGGACTGAGAGAAGGACCTCTCCTGAGGATCTCAGAGCCTGGGCTGATTCATACGGGGAGATACAGTCTGCCAAATAGTCTGGACCTGTGCCATGGGAGAAAGAGTATCAACTCATTTGAGATGTGGTGCTGGAGAAGAGTGCTGAGGATACTGTGAATTGCCCCAAAAAACAAAGAAATGGGTCCTAGAACAGTTCAAGCCTGAGCTCTCCCTGGAAGTCAAGATGAACAAATTGAGGCTGTCCTACTTCAGCCATGTCATAGAATCATAGAATCCTAGAGTTGGAAGAGACCACAAGGGCCATCCAGTCCAACCCCCTGCCATGCAGGAACTCCCAATGTCATGAAAAAAGGATGAAGCCAGCCCAGTTGCAAAGCAACAAGGGACACACTCACCTCTCTGCCACCACCTCGGATCCCTTCCTGGGGAAGGAGCCAAATGGTACCAAGCCACAAGGGGTGTATTCGCTCGTCCTTCATAGCAGGAGGAAGACCCCTCCAGGGTGTCACTCTTCTGTGGAGTATCACCTGGTGCAGTCCATACCCTCACACACACACCTGCTGATTTTGACACCACAGGTTGAGGAGAGGAGGTCTTGGAGGTGTCTCATGCACGGGATTTCCATGACTCAAGGTCAGCCAAAGGGCACTTAACAGCAACAGCAATAAACTAATGGAGCAGATATATTACTGGTCATTTCTTTTTTACAGAAAATTTGCTAGCACAGGCAGAAATAGCATGACAATAATAGGGACATGTTTCTGCACCACAAAAAGAGAAGAGTAGCTCAGTATGTTTCAGCAAACTTTTTAATGAAAACTAACAACAGCCAGGTCAAGTAAGCCTTGCCTACATAAACAAAAACATTCTGAAACTTCTAAAGATGACTTGAAGGCTTCTTCTAAAATGAATCCAGCCTCCACATTTCTGTAGCTCTATCTTTCTTATACTAGATCAGGGGTAGGTAACCTAAGGCCCGAGGGCCGGATGCAGCCCCCCAAGGCCTTTGGACCGGCCCCAGGCCAGTCCTGCCGCCGCCACCGCCACCGTCCCCCACCGCCGCCGCCGCCCACCATGATAATATTGATTATTGGGGACTTCCGGTGGCATGGCGTCCCATTGAGAAGCTTTCCAAATTGCCTCTGGAGGCTTCTCATAGAAGCGCGGTTTCCGATCCGCAAAGAGACCTTTTTCAGGATCGAAAGTATCCCTTTCGGAGTAAGGGATCCGGACGGCTCTGATTTGGGATCCCCCTTTGTTCGTAAGTCTCAGAACCCTTGGTGGAGTTTTCCTCGAGAGGCGCAGAGGCTGAGAGCAATTCTATCCCTAGAGACCGCGACCGTGCTTCTGACAATCTTCCATTCGGAAGACCGGGAGATGCCACCAATCCCTTTTTAATCCTTGTCCATATCATCAAAGAACTGTGAGTTTGTATATCCATGTTAGTGGGAATTTAGTACGGCTTGGTCGCAAAACTTCGTTGGATAAAGTCATTCAGTGACTTTTTTTTTTTTTTTTGGACTATAAAATACGAAATAAAAATAAAAAGAGGCCATCTGTCAAGGTTCCTTGGGGACCAAGGAGGAT